ATAAAGTGAGGAGATGCCGCTTCCAACCATCATATTTATAAAATGTAAAAGGCACCACAGAACCAAGAGTTGATGAGTGTGGGAAGATACAGGGCCTCCTGCAGTTCTTCTGGGAGCACCCCCTGCTGTGACTGCATGGAGAACACTCGTCATGAAGATGAAGGATGAGTATCATCAGTGGTCTTTCCATCCCATGCTGCATAGCCTGGAGACCCCAGACCCCCACCCCCGACGACTGGATGAGTACCCAGGCACGGGGACAACTACTTAGGCCGGCTTTATGCACAGTACCCAGGGAGAAGTAAAGCCCTGTGCCTACTGTTTGTGCAACTGAAATATCACCCCGTTACTGTGTATCTTAAAGGATACATTCATATCCAAGAATAGAGAGAGAGTGGGATCAGGAGCAAAAGTAAAATAGTATTAAACAAGAAGAGTCTTGTTTTGAACAGTTGCACTGGAGTTCCTTGAATAGTAGTAACAAAACTCTGCATAGGAAGTTTTTGAAAAACATTAAAAGAGTAAAGTGTGGTCTTCAGATTAATTGGTGGGAGGGTGACAGCCATTGAAATGGATAAGTTCAATTTGGGAGTGAATATCACTCGAAATAGACCAAAGTCCAACATACCTAAAATTGGTGTTCAGGAAGAAGCTTGAGAGTAAGGGTTGATCAGGAAAGAGAGTTAACCTCGATTTGACACAGAAAAATCCCAACTCTCAAAAAGCTAAGCCACACCAAAGAAACTGCTTTATCTGGATGTTGGGAAGATTTAGGATGTTAAGTTCAGTATAAACAAAAACTCTTTCTCCCTTGCAACTTCCATTCCTCCTGCCTTGGGAGGCTGGCAAAAGCTAAGAATGTAGAAGACATTCTGAGACGTTTCTGAGACCCTGAGAAGGGGCTTACGTGCCCACTAAGCGTTCCCGTCACCAGGCAGTGCACTCTGCTAAACAAGCCTTCACCAGCAGGCCTTTACTAGGACCATTTACGGTGACAATAAGTTACTTCCTCTGAAGTTTTATCACAATGGCTTCCTTCTCATACAGTTGAACTTGCTCACTTTCAAATGTAATTATGTTTTTGAAATACATACTTCTGAAGTGAAGCCATCAATTTTCATAGGCAATGCATGATAAAATAAATGCATGGTACCGCAAACTGCAATTTATTAAGTTTGGTGGAGTCAGTGGAGCCAGTCATGCAGACAGCTGGGAGAAATCAGAAACAGAGGTGACATGGAGTGATATTCAAAGTAGAGAAACAAGGAAGAGGCATGAGCCAGAAGCTGTGAGCCTGCAGTGGGGTTCTGTACACATTGCCCTCAGCCAGGTACCATCGGCTTGTTTTAGCATGCCCCTTGTCTGGGCTGTGCCCCAGTTTCCTCCTCCTTAAAGCAGCACTGAAGTTCATCTCACCCCTGCTTCCCTCACTGCTTGTCATAAAGATATAACGAGATTATGATTGTGGGTGCTCATTAAGCTGGGCACATATGTGGCAAATCATTACTTTTATTAATGGAGGAATAAGAACAGTCCCATAAGTCAGAAATAAAGACACAATATATCCTTAAAAATAAACATATGGGCTGGGTGAGGTGGCCCACACCTGTCATCCCCACAATTTGGGCAGCCGCGGCAGGAGGACTGCTGATGCCCAGACACTGGAGGCCAGCCTGTGCCACATAGTGAGACCACATAAAAAAAAAATAAACACACGACCAAAAAGAAAAAACTATCTGATGGCTTCGCTTTATCCTAATGTCAAATCACAATTATTCTTTACATCATCTTTTTTCTTCACGAAAGTCAGAATCTCATAGGAAATTGGTCAAGATCCTGACGTACAGGTGGGTTAACAGGATTAGTAAATGTCAAATAACAAATTACAAAGAAGGAAGGGATGAAATGAAGTCCTGGCACATTTCTCCTGGTTGTATTTCTTCTTTCTGGCCCAGACATCTCCTGGACTTACAGGTGCGTAAATGTCCCTTGTCGTCACCAGGACAGCTTTAACTACCGTCAAGAAGTATTTTTCAAATAAACACTTCAGTTTCTGTGTCTGAAGTGTTTATCTGACTCATCGGAACTGAGAACAAATTAGGGGTTGACAAGGTCCTATTGCATGCAGAACAACTGTGACTTTCTAAATGGAAGAACATCTTTAAAACTTTAAAGAGGGTTTCAGTTTTCATGTATGCCATATTCTATTATCGAACCAGAAACTTCACTCCAAAGTACTATTCAAAATCCTGATGGAGTAAGAATTAAATTGCTGCAACTTAACTTTAATCTTGTGTACTTCTTCAGTTATCACACAATGTCTTTTTTCCCTGTCCTTACCAATCTCAAGGTTCACCATTGTAAATATAAGTGTATGTCAATTAGGAAAAACACAGGAAATCCCTTAACATCTGAAAGGTTCCATTCAATTTTGCTATTCTTATGAAAACTGATTTCAAATCTGGAATATTCAAAGTAACACTTGAGTCATGACCTCTACAGCATGCTTTAGCATGTGGTCCGTTATATCTGACAGATCACCCTCACACACTGCTCTCGGCACCCTGATGACCTCCCAGCACAGTGTACTTTGTTCTGAGCTCTTCAGTATACTTTTTGTAGAATAATATGTACATATGCATGCATGAGAGTGTGTGTGTATGGGGGGGGTGTGGGGTGTGTGTGTATGGTATATGTTATATGAGTGTGTGTGTGGTGTTTGTGGGGTGTGTGTGTATGGTATGTGTTGTATCAGTGTGTGTGGGGGGGGTGTGGGGTGTTTGTGGGGCGTGTGTGTATGGTATGTGTTGTATGAGTGTGTGTGTGTGTGTGTGTGTGTGTGTGTGTGGTGTTTGTGGGGTGTGTGTGTATGCTATGTGTTATATGAGTGTGTATGCATGTGTGGTGTGTGTGTCATGTGTGGTGTGTGTATGTGTGGTGTGTCTGTGTCTGTGTCATCAAATACTGTATCTTTTGATTACATCCTGGAGGTGCATGTGTTATGCATCCTTCTCTTCTGGAATATGAAATAGGCATGTATTTCCCTATTCCTCCCACTAAGTACAGCTGAAAACCCTGACACTTCATGGAGAATGACCCTGCCAGACAGAGAGAAGGAGGCAGGATGGCTGAGGAGCTCAGGATTTGAGGAACAACATGGTGGAAAATTCCCTGGGTTTTCCTTTGCCTCATGCGTACTAGACCGGGAACCGAAGAAATCAGCAACCCAGAAATCCCAGCAGGCACAGACAAAATAAAATCCCAACAAAAGCCTGTTTCTCTAGCCACAGGACCAGGGAAGAGGCAGAAAACTCTTAAGATGATAACTGCTCTACTTCAGCCAAACAACACAGAAAAACCTTGGCCCCACCTTCACCCATGCCAGTAAGGGCTGTCTGGGTGGCCTAGAATTCCACCCTCATTAGTCTGTAAGGAGGTGCCCCAAATTCCCCACAGGGGTGGTGTCCACAAGGACACTGACCACTGCCCAAGGTAACTGGCCATAGCTCTTCTTGGGATTAGTGGAGGCCACACAGAGAGTGGGAACCTCTACCCTCAGCAAGCAAGAATAGCCCCACAACTTTCTTCATTGCAGTAATAGGGGGCACCCCCACTTCCTAGGTTGGAGTCATGTGAGTCCCAGTCTGTTAAAACAGAAAGCTTACATAAGGTCCAGAGTCTCATAACACAGTGCCCCAAAAGTCTAACTTTCAATTAAAAAAAAAAATCACTAGTTGCTCAAAGAACCAGGAAGATCTCAAACAGAAAAGAAAAAATAAACCAAACCAAGATGACAGAAATGTTAGATTTATCTGACAAAGATTTCAAAGCAGCCATGATAAAAATGCTTCAACAGGCAATCACAGACCAGCCTGAAATCAGTGAAGAAACAGAGCCTCCGCTAAAAAATGGGACATATAAAGAAGAACCAAATGGAAGTTTTAAAAGTGAAAAATACAAAACCAAAATGAAAAGTTCACAGGCAGGGCTTAATAGCTGAGTAGAGGAAACAGGAAAGCAAGCATGAAATGCAGGATGAAAGAACAGACACTCTCACCTCAAAACCCAGAGGAAGAAGAGCAACATAAACCCAAAGCAAGCATAAGAAAGGACATAAATAAATAAAAGGAAATGAAGAAAGAGAGATAGAGAGCAGAAATCCGTAAAACTGAAAACAGAAACGACGGAAAACACCCATGAAACAATGAGCTGATTTAAAAAAATAAGACTAATAAAATTGACAAATCTCTGGCAAGACTGATTGAAAGAGAAAGAGAGAGGAGACACGAGTTCATAAATTACCAGTATCAGGAATGAAACCGAGAATCACTACAGATCCCGCAGACTTGGCAAGGATAATAGGGTGCACCATGAACGCCTCTACACACAGATTGTAGGGATGCATACCCTGCTGGTGGAGGCTGCCCAGGAGTAGCTGGGCCTGGGTAAAAGGTACACACAGCTTTCAAAAGAGGCTCAGGGTCACTGGAGGAGGAAATTCTGGCATCCCAGGTGCCTGGAGAATGTTCTTGGAGGGAGGGGTGCAAACTGTGGACAGGAACATCACCTGATTTTCACAGACTCGCATCCTGTGGTGAGGGCAAGGCCAGGGAAGGCAGAAGGAGCTCTCAAATGCTCAGGGTCAGGGTAGAGTCCCTCTGGTCCAGCTCTAAACACTGTGCTGAGTACAGATGGTTTTTTTCTTGTCATTGCCAATGAGGTAACACTCACCAATACAGAGGATGACTAAGGATCTGAAGCCAAGAGTTAACAGCCTTCAGGAAGGCTTAGCAAGCTTTGCAGCTATTCCTTTCATTATCTAACAAGTATTTGTGAGGGTTCTTGCTATAACTTAGCATCTGAGCCACGCATGCAGCGTGGGGTTAGAAAGAGACGCAGGGACGGGCTGTGGCAGCCCAGGGAGAGTGGCGTGCACCTGCAGAACGGGTGCGAGTCTCTCATGCCACGAGGTCCCGTTCCCCCTTGATGTGCAATGTCCCACCGAGGCCCACAGGTAGGCTGTGTCCCTCGATGTCTGGAACACACACTGAGCTCACAGGGTTCTGCCTTCCCAGCACCCTGTTCTAGATGCTGCCACACAGCACCTGACAAGCTGCTGAAATGCTGCATCTACCCGAGCTTCCGCTTCGTTAGCGGCCTGTGCCTCACACCTCGCTCCTCTCTGCCCTGAACAGGGGCATGGGGAGAGCACCCGCGAAGCTCTGGGTTCCCGACAGCTTCGTTAGAAATGAAGCCAAAAAGTGCAGGCGCAGGTCAGGAGAACAGGGTTATGTGACCCCTGGAAATGACACATCTGTCCCTGGAGGCGGCGTCTTTCTCCATGCTCCTTCCCAAGTTCAGTTTCTGACGAGCTTCCATCATCTCCTCCTCCCGGCCTCCTATGCCTTCCCACCGCAGAGCTCTGTCCCAGGCCCCAGAATACATCTCACTTTCTCTCTTTTCAGAGCGGAGGAAGCCCAGCTCTAAGGGTGACTCATGGCCACTCGGATGTCTGTATCAGAAGACCGACGCCAGATCCACAGCTGGGCTTTCACACCTGAGGAGGTGGGAGGGGGTTTTGTTTTAATAAAGTCATGCTTGATTAAATGAGCGAAAAGTAAATTAAGGAATTTTGAGGGAGGAGGAAGAGCAGATTGTCATGAACAGTTGGTGAGATATCTGTGCAGATAGACTGTGCGAAAAAATTGTAGGACACAGCTACTGATTTTTTCTCTGTCCTCTTTTTAAAGGACTGGTGCCTAGATATCTGGGTCACAGTTCGTATTTCTGGGGAGAAATACGAACACATTCACGCATGATGTGGAGAGAAAATAAAGGACAGAATCACCCAGGAGTGGCTGAAGAACAAACACAGACGCATGACTTATGTGTCCTGGAATCAAAACCACTCCTTGCCCCGTGCAGCCATGTATTCAGCTTTATTATTCTAGCAAGTGAAAAACACAAAGCTCAGCTTTGTGAAATATCTGGAGTGAGGCAGAGGAGGAGAGAAGTGTTGCCTGTGACGCCCTGGGGTCAGCACTGGCCACGTTATTTGCAGAGGTGACGGGGGTCATGGTGCAAAGCTCCCTCGTGGAGGAGGCGGACAGGCTTGTTAGTGGGTCCCTCACAGCCAGCAGTCACCACACCCTGTCACACCACGATCACTGAGTTCCAAGCCCCAGCGCTTCTCACCTTGGCTTCCACAATGGCCTCCCTGATCCCGCCTTTCCCTCTGGGTTCATGCCAAGAGCCCAGTTGACCTAGGCTTCCTCACACCCTGCTCCAACCACGTCCATCTCCCGGCCAGCCATCAGTGATGAATGATCCCTTCCTCTGACTTCAAACCTAATCCCAGCCCATGGGGTATCAGGCAGGGTTACCCGCACATGCTGCAGGGGTGGGAAGAGGTGCGGTCAAGCGCTCTGTGCCGCTGGGGTGAAACAGAACACATTCTCACCCATAGAGACAGCTTGAGTCGTTCTTGGGTGCTCATGAGAAACACAGAAAAGGCATCTGACTCAGAGCTGAGCCCTGGTGCTCTCGTTTCGGGTCCTGGGAAGAGACAGCTGTGAGATGGAGGCAGTAGGAGGTGACAGAAAACGGTTTATTTACTGGTTCCTTATGGCTGAATTGTATACACAAAAAAAGATGTGTTGACGTCCGCACATCTGGAATGGAGAATGTGATGTGACCTCATTTGGAATTAGGGCATTTGCCAACATCAGCAAGTTAAGACGGGGCTGTTGGGGTGAGCCCTAACTGTGCCTGACTGGTGTCCCTATGGGAGGAGAGACAGAGACACACAGAGGGAAGACAGCCACTGGGAGACAGAGACACACAGAGGGAAGACAGCCACCCGGGGACAGAGACACACAGAGGGAAGACAGCCACCCGGGGACAGAGACACGTAGAGGGAAGACAGCCACCCGGGGACAGAGACACATAGAGGGAAGACAGCCACCCGGAGACAGACACACACAGAGGGAAGACAGCCACCCGGAGACAGAGACACACAGAGGGAAGACAGCCACCCGGGGACAGAGACACGTAGAGGGAAGACAGCCACCCGGGGACAGAGACACACAGAGGGAAGACAGCCACCC